TCCCAGGGTGGCCCGTTCTGAAAAAAAACACACAGATCTGCCTGGCGAAAACCGACAAAAACAGGGGCAAAAACCCCCCAAGCTTCGAGGGCCCAAGCCAAGGGGCCGTAGAAGAAGACCGCCAGGAGGCCAACGGCCGCGGTGCCCGCCAGCAATCCTCGGGGCTCCGGCTTCGTGCTCTCTTTTTGGGGCTTTGGGGTGTCTCTCGGGTTCTTGCCGGGCTCTGTGGGGTTCTACTTTGGATTTTGTCGGTGGTGGTCAGGAGAGGGTCGGGGAACTTGCAGGTTTTGCGCGCTCACACCGCGACGCAGCAGATGCCATCCTCCTCAAGTCTGGCAAATCTGAAAATGTTCAAAAAATGGCTCCTCCGATTGGTCTAGGAGTTGGGGACCTCCCGCCCAAGGTTCCCGACTAAATCTCACCGAGACTCCGAGGAACACAAGCGGAAATCGAGTAGGCTCGCCTCCGGTCAGGCTAGAGCTTGATGTTGGATATGTTCAGGGGTTTGTGTGGTGGGCTATACCCTGTTTATAGGGTGACGTGGCTCTGTTTTTTTGTTTTTTTTTTGGGGGGGAGGGTCTTACTAATAGAATCCTTAAAGGATCATGTTCAGAAGCACTTCTTTAAGGTAGGGCTCCTTTCAACCCTGGAGGCCCCAGGCCCTAGGCCTCCCGTCGCGGCCATGCTCACTTGCACCGAGCGGCCCTCCGCCTCCGGTCCGGCGCGAGAGCCGGGCTTTAGGGTTTGGGGTTTTTTATCTGACACCTCTTAGGGTTTAGGGAGTTTTTTGACACCTCTTAGGGTTTGGAGTTGTTTTTTAACAAATGGATGCACCACCAACACCACACATACCCGTTACTGGCAGTCCCCAGGACCTGCCGAAATCTGCACTGAGTTTCATGGCAGCTGAAATGCATCTCTCTATGCTGGCACAAGTGCAGGATTGAGTTACACCGACATGGCCGGAAAAAATGACATGCCATAAGACTCTCGAGCTACAGCAGGGTTTAGGATTTAGGGCTTTTAGTGATCATTCTAACATGGCTTGGAAGATGGATTGAAAGTCGTACAAGGTGTTCATGAGAGCTTTAAGATGATCTTATGAGAGTCTTTTGGGGTCTGGCAGAAAAACGGCTCAGGGTCTCAGGTTTGCAGTTTTACCGTGGTCATCATCTTCAGGGGATCTGCCTCACCGGAAACCCTTACAGAACCACCCATAGAACCCTTATTATCTTGTGGGATCCTTTAAAAATCTTAAGGGAGCCCCTTTAAAACCCCTCTGACACGAGCCCTCAAAGGGAGCCCTTAACGGGAGCCCCCCCCCCCTGAGCGCCTGGAAGCTGGGCGCCTGCGCGAAAGCTCCCGGAGCCTCCTGTGACGCGGCGGTGCGGAGCGGCTGGGGGGCGACGAAGCTCTCACCGGGCAGCAGGACGTACCTCGGGTACTGGCCCACCGGGCTTGGGGCTCTTCGGTGGGCTGAGGGTTTGCGGATTGCCTCGCTCAGGGGATGTCCGAAGCTTCGCAGCTTTTGGGGGCGGGGGTGGGTATCACATTTTTTCTCACACGCACACAGAGATAGTCACTGTCTCAGGGTTCTCTCCAGCGTCCTGAAGACAAAACTCAGCCATGAAAAGTGCACACTTCCCAGATAATCACAGCAACCCGTAGAGTACTAACCCTCATAGAAACCCTGTCAGAAACCCCTTTTTTAGCTCTCCATCAAAGGTCCCAGGTGCAGGGCGCAGGCCACCAGGGCCACCACCAAGAGGTTGGCACTGCGCTTTGCCATGGCTACGGAGATGAGTCGGGGTGCTGCTGCTGGGGTTGCTGGGAGCTCGAGCCAACTGCACCATAAAGAAACGTGGCTGTCGGCTCGTTTCTCGGCTCTGCTCCATGCCGATGCTTGCACTTATTTCTGAATGGGCTAAGCGGCTAGACTGTGTCACATTCTGCGTTAGCACTTGAAACAGATTTTATACTGCCCAGTTCTCTAAACCCGCAACACCTAATCCCAAGTAATCAAAGCTTCGAATAGTTGCCGGGGCCGCCGTTGCCGCTGTTCGGCGGGTACTCCATGGACGAGTGTGTGGCCTGAACCTTGGCATTCCTGGCGATCTCCCGAACCTGCCCAGTTGAATTTCGGGTCTAAGGCTTTAGGGATTGGCATTTAAGAATTGGGGCTTTAACACCAAACATCAAACCTTCGAGGTTATGCTACAAGCAAAAACACTCTTTGGCACCCAGGTTAACGTTGAGGCCAGACATACCCGTCGCCGAGGCGGGGAGGGGGCAGACGTTTCAATTTTGGGGTGCCGGGCTTCGGCTTCTTTTGGAGTGCCTTTGGCTTTGCTCTGAAATTCCAGTGTTGTGCTTGCTTTTCCTGTGATTTGGTGTTTAGGGGTTAGGTTGCCCCACCTGCTCACCTGTCAGGAGAACTGGTCGGCTCTTGGCCAAAGTCTCAGGGGCATTCACCCATCGCAAGGCTTGAACAACCGCAAGCCCCAAAATTCCCGGGCCCCCTTGAAACCCCGCTCCAAACCCCTACCCGCCAATAACTCCCTCTGGCCCAGAAAGAACACCCGGAACCCAAACTACTGGCAAAAGGAGCGTTTGGACAACTCTAAACCCTTTTTTGCAACAGGCTTTCCACTTCGCCCGGACTCTAAACCCTAAACCCTAAACCCGAAACCCTATAATGGTGCTAAGGAGGAAAACAAGCGAAGCTCCGACCTCTTTCTGAAGAGTCGGGTCCGGCTTGCTTCGCGGACTGCCGTCCTCGTCGACGTCCTCCTGTTCAAAAACCCAAAGCTTAGGGGCTTAGGATGAGGGTCTGAGGGCTTTCCCTGCTTGGTGCTTAGAGCTTTCGTGTTTCGGGGTTCGACTCTCACTCTCGCGCAAGGCAGGCAAGGCTCTGCATAGCCCCGCAACACTGGTTAGTTTCGGGTTTAGGGCTTAGGGTTTAGGGCTGGCTTCGCCAGTCGGCATATCCACAGTGTTCAGCCATACGGGTCGACCAGTCTACAGTGCAGAAGCTTGGGGATCAGGACTTGCGCTTCTCGCCTTGAAAGCCCGTAGTTTGTTGTGTTCACGACAGCCTCTCGGCGCCCCAGCTATATTCTTCCAAACTCCCTAGCAACCCTTCTTTGCATCCAGGCCTCTTGCAGTCTTGCCGGGAGGGGCGAGTTCAGCAGCACTCGTGGCTACAAACTCCCTAGCAACCCCAAACCCTAAACCCCAAACCCCGAAACCCTAAACCCCTTTTCCACAGGCTTGATTGGAGCTCACCCTAAACCCTAGACCCCAAAGCCTTACCCTCAAACCCTAGGTCCCCTAGCGTTTCGACTTGTTGAGGTATAGGTTGCCACTCGCAACTAAAAACTTGGTACGCATCGCATAACATACTAAAACACCCACAGGGGCCTTGGACAGTAGGTTGTAGATCGGCTTACAGAAAACACCTGTGGTGTTTAACCAAGCACAAACCGTATAGGAGGGTCTATGAAACCCTTGCCGAATCGGGTACCAAGCGCAGGCCGTCAAACAAAAACCCAGAGCCGACGCCGGGCCCGCCTCCACGGGGAGCAGGTCGTCATTGCCGCTCCGAGCGCTCTTCGGCGACCTCAGTACAACAAAAAAACCCGAAAAGCTTGGTGGCTCGAGTTTCGGGCTTAGGGGGTTCAGTGTCCAGGGTGGTCTTTAGCCTGGCTCTCGAGCTGGTTTTTTTTGGGTGAGTCTTTGGGTGCCTTTTCAGTGCGGCTTGGAAGGGTTTCGGACTGAGGGTGGTGGCGTTCAGGGGCTTTGAGATTTACCGTTCTTGTTGATGGACAGGTATTGGCTCTCTGGACCACCATCTCAAAACAGTGGACACAAAGCCCCTCACAAAACCCGACAAAGCCGCTATAAACACCAATACAAAAAGTTTATGAAACCCTGACGTGCGGAGCAACCTCCGACCGCTTGCTGCTTCGAAACCCGGTTTTTTTTGCACCTATGGAAAACCCGCATCGGGTTCCTGGCAGAGGCCCGCCCTCCTCTTTGGCCTTGGCCCGCATCTGCGCGACCTTCCGGAAGAGCGCCTTCAGAGGGTTTAGGACCTAAAGGGCTTATTTTGCTGGCAAGGCTCAGGGCTTTGAGGGCTTTTAAGGGGATTTGAGGCTTCTGCCTAAGGGCCGAAATTGAATTTGAGGCTGAAGGATTGAACTTCTTGAACCTGGGACCCCCGGAGTGAGGGTTTAGGGCTTCCTTAGGGTTTGGATTTAGAGCTAGGGTTTAGGGGTTTTAGGGCTTAGCCCGGCCACTTGGGCTCGCAGGGGCACGGCCTTGTTCACACCCTCCGGGTACTCCAATGCCTGCCCGCGTCGCAGTCAACTGACCCTGACACTAATCTTCCTAAGAATCGATGCAACACCAGCACCGTGGCTCTGGGGGAGTCGGTGTGGAGCAAAGGTGGGACAGGACACCTAACGCCTCTCTCGGATCATCTCTGTGTCTTCTTCCCTCAGGTTTCAGATACTGCGGGCCTCAGGCGAGCATCGCATCTGGTGCAGTCAATCCCAAATTCCCAGCCGGTCCTACCTAACCTCCCTAACCTCCCCAAAAAAGACTCAGTAGCCCAAATGGCGAACTCCAACACTCCCGAAGCTCCGCAGAACTCCTAGAAACCTCGGACCCTGTCCCCCTGAAATCCCAGCTCCCTGAAAGCACGGTACCACGCGCGGGTCCTCGAGTTTTACACTGTACAGTACTCTTGCACACGTGAGCCTCATTGAAGCAGTCGTGATGAGGAGGACCCCTAGCGACACGACCGACATCATGACCACCGTCGTCACCTACAACATCATCAACATCATCATTATCGCTGAAGCCCCCCTTGCAGGGGCGAAGCCGGCCTTCGGCTTGTTCAAAGCAGCTTTGGGCCGCGGCTTCATCAAGACAAACCTTCGCCGACAGCTGCAATGCTGCAGGGAAAGAGAAGAAGGAGAAAACCTAAAGGAGAGAGACAGAGAGAGAGAGAGAGAGACAGACAGAAACAGAACCAAAAACGGAGAGAGGCCTGCCATGCAGGACCTAGCCCCCTTCGAACTAGTCCGAGACTTCCGCTTAACCTCACTTCGTTCACAAGGAGACCCAAGAGATCCATAATCTAAGGTATAAAAAGGTGACGTGGCAGCTTTATTATGGGGGCTCCATTCTTGCCCTGAAATCTCTTGAAAGCGAACCCTAATAATTAGAAGAGAGGCTCCTCAGTGCTTAGAAGATTGGCTGCGAAATAATTAGAAGATAGGCTCCCTAATGATTAGAAGGCTTTTTGCTGCTAGTCGATAAGAGACATTGGGTTTGTACAGGAACTGGATCAACCGGAAGCGGTCCATGCGTCGGCTTGATGCGAGATGCCCTGTAAGGCACCACGGCCTTTCGGCGTCTTCAAAAGTTGCACAGGAGTCCTTAAAACGACAAAGGATGCCGAACACACAATGAAGCTAGTATGGAAAGACAGGGAGTTCATGCTCCAAATTGGTCCAAAATGAGTGAGGATGGGCCCTACCCAGACACAGAAGGAAACACACCAACGTCTTTGGGATCTCTGAGGCAGACGCTGATTGGACACGATCTTGCCGTGGTGAACCTCTCCGCAGTGCGCAGGGCTTGGGCCCCAGGAACCCCGAAACCGCCAAAGCCAGAGAAGTTACGGATAGGGAAGACGAGTCGTCGTTCTCATGAGGCAGCACCAAGCTCGTCAAAAGCCGCGCCAAAATCGTTGCCACAGTGTTGCGGAATTTTTCTTGCTTAGTCAAACTCTGCAAGCCCTGAGCCATCCGACGCATTGTTTATCAGCCACACTTCCGACGCCATTCCCGCGCCCACTCTACTCCTTTCGTTAGGCGGCACCTGAGCTCGGGCGTTGCACAAAAGGGTCTAAAGGGTACGGGGTTTAGGATATCAAAGCCTACGTCCGACACTCCACATCAACTCCAGGTCGCGACGCTCAATCCGTTTTTCCGAAAAGCCAAACTCCAGAAAGAGCAAGGCCAGATCCACGACTCCAAGTCTTCGAAGCCCCGAAGAAAGAAACTCTCCATCAACGGCCGAGGACCTGAACCACACTAGAACACCCCCTGCGAAGCCCTATTACCGGAGCCTTTAAGAAGGAACCCAAAAACAGGAGAAAATTCTCCAGGAACCCATCAGCCTTGAACTCGTTCAGGAGATTTCGGTAATTCATTCTCAAGTCGATCATGGCCGGGTTCGACCTGGCGGACGAACTCACGTCTTTGGACTTTGGAATTCTGGGCTTAGGCCTCCTACAAAATTCATGCTTAGGGTTCAGGGTTTAGGGTTTAGGGCCTTTAGGGCTTAGGGCTGAGGGTTCAGGGCTTTGCGTTCCGGGAATTCGGAGACCGCTCGCTCTCACTGTTTGCATCTGTCGAAATCTGGAGATGCGGTTTTGGATGCTGGGCAGGGTGTCGAAGCACCTACGAACAGCACTCCAGCTAGCAGCCTTCTTGCCAAACACTCTGAGGTTGCTGGAGGTGGGAAGCCTGGCTGGCTAGGACCAGGGTGGCCTTTAAAGCTAACAGCCCCACACCGAGGGCGAAGAAAATGCAAACATGAAGGAAGAAAGAGAGCAAGGACGGTAGGGCATGGATGCTAGCCAGGGAAACCTGTCCACTCTTCAACCGTCCAACCTCGACCCTGGGAGTTACCCGTGGGTACCCCCAATCCTTTCCACAACTCCCAAAGCCGGCTGAATCCTTGTTGAGATGTCGCCGGAGCTTGCGTTGCTTCGAATTTCCGGGCGGGTGCATTAGCTACTGGGATTGGTAACCTTGCTGAACACTTTTTTTGAGACAGAGTCCCTTTTAGAGGACCCAAACAAAAAAAACCTGCAGTGAGACCCTTCAAGAACCCAGCCTCCAGTGACCAACGCTAAACCCAAAGCCCTTGCATGCGCCTGACATCCAGCTTCATGCGCTTGCCGTAGAGCCGCGTGACCCCGAGAGGGAGGCTCTCGCGATCCACCGTCGAGAGGTCGATCCTTGGTGTTTAGGGTTTCTGGGGCTTCTGGGGTTTAGGGTTCAGGGTTCTGGTCTAGTGGTCTCGTCTTGCTGTGTTTTGTTTTAAAGGGGGATCGTTGTATGAGCGTGGCTGGCTTGCCGTTCGCGAGTCCGCTCGAGGCGCTGCTCATGCTAAAGCCCCGAACCCTAAGGCCGCGCCCAGGGTTTGAGCGTGGCGGCTAAGTGCATGAAGTTTTCTGGCGTTTCGAAGCGTCTGGAAGGCTTTGGAACTTTCGTGCCGTCCATGCCATGTGCAAGCGCAACACTGGCCCTGAGGCATCGGCGTGGAGGCATTCTGGGACAGAGAGCTTCCCAAGTTGGACTTGCCTGAGATGGCAGTCTTTTTAGCAAAGCAATGGTCCGGTCGCTGAATCATGTTTCACTGGGCTCCTCAAACGAATCCGAACTCTCCAGTCCCGTTCCAGCAATCTGAAACTCGAATCCTCGATCCACGAACTGACGGGACGGCCTGCCGAAAGCGACGGCCCAGAAATGCTCCGGTTCATGTCCCGTGGAACCTCAGTGCTTTATCCTCATCCTCGGACAGGTTCCTGTCAAAAAAGCACGACCAATCACACCTCAACGCAGGCTTCAAGGGCCCATGGGTCCAACCCTGAACCATCCACCCTTTTCAGCCTAAACTTCCTCTCAAACCCTCTGCACCTGGGGCCCTGGCCCTAAAACGTCATGCGAGGCGCCACAGAAGTTGAGGGCTCAGATATAAAGAGCCAGGGCTTCTACAAGGCTGCGTAAGGTTCCCGAGACGTTTGGGTATTCGACCGAGCAGACACCTAGAAAGCATGCAACTAGAGGTGGTTTTTTCCTTGCCGAAGATACAGATCAAATTCCCGTAGCTTAACGAACTTGTCGGAGCTATCTGCATTCCGACATCGTGCTGCTTACCACAAAAACGCTTCATCTCGCCAGCGAGGCGAAATAGCATCGGACAAGGAATGCAGAGCAACCCTAAACGGTGCAGCTGACAAGGAGCAGACTTCGTCATGAGTTGACGTGGCAGCATCTGCAGTTTGTTGGACAACGCTGAAAGGCAGTGGGACATCAGCCGCGCACACAAAAATAACGAAGATCCTACTGGCTCCCACATGCAGCATGACTGCGATCTGTCGGTCGCCTTCCTGCGGCGCCAGCTGAGGCCTCGTGCTATGTGAACCCCTGGTCAATGCATCTGCAACGGCGGACACATTTCGAAGCTTGGTGATTCTGTCATCGTTACTCTAATTAATCTCAGTGCTGAGGGCCAGGCACTGGTCTGGAGTCATTAGCTCCTGCAAACAGAAATGGGAAACAATTGGCCACAGTCTTTGAGCCTTACAAACACATCGTGGTAGTCGTGGTGGTGGTGCCGTAGGGGTGGCGGTGGCTCGTGGTCGTCGGGTGCTGGTGCTTGCGCTGGTGCTGGGGCTGGCGCTGGGGCTGGTGCTGGGGCTGGGGCTGGGGCTGGTGCTGGTGACTGGTGCTGTTGGTGCTGGTGCTGGTGGGGCTGTTGGTGCTGGTGGTGCTGTTGGTGGGGCTGTTACTGGTAGTGCTGGTGGGGGTGGTGCTAGTGCTGGTGCTGGCGCAGGTGCTGGCGCTGGCGCTGGGGCTGGCGCTGGGGCTTGGCTGGTGCTGGTGCCGGTGCTGATGCAGCAGCAAAAGCCGTCGCGTTGTTGCACTTGCAAGTAGCAGTCGCAGTCGCAGTCGCAGTCGCGGTCGCGGTCGTCGTCGTCGTCGTGGTGGTGGTCGTCGTCGTCGTAGTGGCGGCAGGTGCTGCTGCAAGCAGCTTTACAACCACATGCCTGACAACAACAACTTTCATGATCGCTTGAAACTTACTGTACAAAAAAGTCGGTTCTTAAGGAGCAACCGTACAGCAGCAGCAATAGCAATGCAATCGTAACTGCCGGTACTTGCCTTTCGTCGCATTTCCACAAAGCTCGGGGCAGTCCTGGCCCGGGTGGCCCTTGCGGTGGTCCTCGGTAGGTTCTTTCAACCCCACACAAAAAACCAAATCGTAAAGCACCCCTCATACCATAGAAAGTGTTTTCCTCAAGCTGGCAAGCATGGCATGTCTACGACCATGAAATCACTTGACCACACGTCTCTCACCCCCTTTGCTCACTCAATCACTCAATGATTCACTTGCTCACCCCCTCGATGATTTGCACCTACAAAAAAAACCCACTGCGCGCATGCCCTCGCATGCCCTCGCCCTCCCTTCCACCCTCCTGCCCTCTCTCCCTGCCCAGCTCGATCGATCGCTCGCTCTCACTGGCGCGACCATATAATGGTTGCCGTCCACAGGATCCTGGCCCTCCAAACCCACCCGGGTTGCCTTGCAGCCTGAAACCTAGGTATCTTACCAGATCTCCGCAGAATCCCTGGCGGCAAACATTACAATGCTAAACCAAGTCTTGGCGACTAAGGTTTTATGAGGGTTTGGGGCTTGTTCGACAGTCACACGCGGACATTCTTGGCAGGGTCTGTAGCGATATTGGTCCAACTGTCCAACTCATAACAATGTCACCGAGCACCGCGTTGTCAGGAGGCTGTAAGAGACACGACAACCACACATGAACGACCAGTAGTTCTAGTCCTTCTGACAACAGACGTCCAGAGCAGCAAACATCCCATACCCAAAGCCCCACGACCTAGCTACACTGTGTGGAAGCCATGTGAAACTACAGTCAAAACTCAAATATGTACGAATGCATCTCATGACGATCTCGGCATGCAAATCTTCCATGCAGTACGCATGAATTTGTCAGACACCAAGGCTTCATCACAGATTTCAAATCCAGGTTGGCCTTCCTCTTGTCTTGTGTTTTTTTCTCACCTGTTACAACGGAAGGCTCTCCTAAGGATGAAGCTGCTGCTGTTGCAATGACAGACAGGCCTGACCATCTGCACAAACTCCATAGATCTTCTTTGACCAAACAATGCATACTACTCTGTAAAAACAAGACAAAAACGATACTGCAAAATGGTTTCGTTTGGGGCTGTAAATTTTCAGGTGTACCCTCCCTGTTTTTTCGGATAAGTCCATATACCACGCCTGCACATGTGATTCATCGTCCGGCGGGTGCCTCTGACATCTTTGTCATACAAACAATTTGTTGCTGTCTCGGAACAGCGACTTTAGCGTGATTGCACATAACGGTCTGTTTTGGGACCCTGGCGGCCAGCCCGAAGACCGCGAGCACCACTCAGCGGCCTCGGAAGTGTTTCTGTCTTCGAAGGCAATAGGTTGTCTCCATGGGTTCACGCTTTTGTCCCTCTTGGTTCACGGTTTGCGAGCGTTGGGTTTGCGACTACAGTCTCGCCAGACAGCATGCGGCTGATAACCAGCCGGCACATGAATGGATGGCCGCTAAATGGAAGTGCACTTCGTCATGGTGATGATGTTGAGTGAGTGCGATGCTGTTGATATGGGTGATGATGACGAAGGTGATGGTGATGAATGCTGATGCTGATCATGAAATGCACTGCCTGCACATCTTTGAATCCATCCCCCAACATATGTCCATAGGCCGATAGGCTTGTCCCGTATTTTTATGTTTACTCCGACCCAAAACCTTTCAGGCAAACAAAGGTAAGAACATTCGGCTACAGTAAAACTTGTAATTAATGTAGCCCGCTCGTACACAAAACGTCCATCGTCTATCACCAGCCCCTCACTTCAAGGCCTCGGGTGTAAGGTTTGGGACGATGGTCAACGGCCAAGGAACGTAGCAGGCAATGTTTGGACACGGAGGACCGTCGAAGGTTGAGCTGTGTGTCTCTGTCACTTAAATAGCCAACACGTGGTGTCGGGCTGCGGCTGGGGGCATAGCGTTGAACCATTGCTCACGATATGGCAAAAATCTAGATAGGCTACGAAATTCAACACGGATCCTCGGGGTTGCATGGCATCAAACGATCCAATGTATATCCGAAATATAGCAAAGCAGCCTAAGGTAAGGTTGGGGGTTTGGGCTGGGAAAAATGCAGGATATCCACTCCATTTATGGGCAAAACGGTTCCATTACGATTGTAATTCCTAATCCCATTTGCCAGACCACTGCGCAAAACCGCACCTCAAAGGAGGAGCTGCTCGCAAGTTGGCAGATGGCTGGCCAAGCCTTCGTCACAAACGGTCCAGCCCTTTGAAGCTGAAGACAGGTTCAGAACGCTACGACACAGTACAAGTAGCCGACTTTTTGCTGCTAGCCCAAGGCGCCTGCGGTAAGAAAGATAATCAAAGCTACATCCTAGCACTGAGACTATACAAGTGCCGCTGCCAACGTAAGCTAACACGGAGCATTAAAGCAAGGGACTTTCACACCCGTCTTATCTGTCGTGTAGCTGAGTACGGTAGCCTAACGTGCAGGATGTGGGAAAACCGACGTGTTTATACACGTGGTAAGCTTGCCGTGCCGAATGCACGAATTACTCGCCGGCTTCATCAGGAAGCTCAGTCTGCTCCTCCGAGCAGTGTCGGAGTCTTGCAGGCGCGTCCTGGACACTCGTGTCAACAGGATCTGCTGGCGGTTC